AGAGAGAGATCGCCACGCTAGAGAAAAGCGTGCATGGTAGGCGCCCTCAAAAGGACACCGCGGCCGTAATTTCTTTTATTCCCCCACGCCAAGAGAAGGCGTGCAGGTTTGCGGGCACCGGTTTAAATTAAACAATTTTATATTTTACCCTCCGTCTCGTTGTGGGCGTCGCACCGGGTTCCTTCCCACCACGCTAGAGAAAAGCGTGCATGAGTTGGTTTTCCGGTCCGCCGCTAACGCCGAAAATAGGTGTTTGGATTACCGTCCCGTCACAAGCATCGCAACGAATTCCCTTCTCACCACGCTAGAGAAAAGCGTGCATGAGTTTGGTCGTTCGCGCGTTGCAAGCGCCGGGAATGGGTTTTCAAAGGCTTAGAGTTTAGGAGCTTATACTTTGCAAGTGTCGTTGGGTGTTGGCAACCGGATCGAGGAGTCACGTCGTCTACCTCGTCGTAGGTGTCGCGCCCGGTTGCCCCTCCCACCACACTAGAGAAAAGCGTGCATGGGCAGACCACGCGACTCGACATGGCAGGTCGAGGTAAGAGAGAGAGACTAAGTTCCAAAAATTATACCTTTGGCGACCAGCGGATCGGCGGCGGCTGTGGATCGAGGGAGACGATGTATAGAGGCAAAAACATCATTTTTTTTTTAAAATATTTCTTTTTTTTTTCTTTTCTCTCTTTCTTTTTTTTCTTTTTTTGTTTTTCTTATCCTCCCCAAAACACAAACACAATAATATATATATATATATATATATATATAAATATATATTATATATATATATATATTATAATATATATATATATATATATATATATATATATATATATGATTTAGATGTTAATAATTAATAATAATATAAGTCTCAACCTAATATGCCTGTGGAGAAGGAATCGGCCAAGGCTGCTCTGGCTTGCGGGCTTGGAGTTCGACGTGGAGGCTACGAGCAGAGGCTGACGAGAGCCGGGGTTCGACACTTGAGGAAGAAGACAAGGGAAGGAGTCTCTCTCTCTCTCTCTCTCTCTCTCTCTCTCTCTCTCTATCTCTCTCTCTCTGTGTTCGGGTCGGCCGAGAGGTTGGAGACGGAAGAGGTCCGATCGGGTGAGGGAGGAGCTTGGAATGCAGGCAGTTGGAGACCGTGGGTTGAGAAACTTGGTCGGAGGAAGATCGGAGAGATTCGGGAGGTTTGACGGGATGGAGATCGGGAAGCAGAGCAGAGTGGAGATCGGGATTTGGCGGTGCTTGGTCGGCTGTGGCTTGGAGTCGAAAGCAGCTACAAGAGGCGACGGGTAGAGCTTAGTCGGAGGGGTTTGGCATCGGCACAGAGAAGGAGTTTCTGTCGAGTCGGGAGATCGTATGAGAGGAGCGGTATTTAACGACGAGAGCAGTCGTTCAATCGAGGCGACATCGCAAGGTTTCGGCAGATTTTATGGAGAAACGACGCAGACGGCGCCGAACAGCAGGATTTGCGGATGATTTCGGGCAGATTTCGGGGACTCAACGGATATGAGATGAATGTATGCTGGATTTCTACTTTGATTTCATTTGCCTTTGTTTCTTTTGGGTATAATTATGAGGGTCAACAATAAGGTTCGTTATTTTAAACTTAATGACCTCCACACAAAGTTATTATTCAAGTCATATCAATTTGGATTAAAATCCCAAATAATATGAATCTATTACCAAGAATGAAAAATATAAAATATATAAATTTTAATAAGTTTAACTGATTAAAATCTTACTCAATTCAATATATCAAAATGTATAAGTTAATTATCATAACTAAATTCTTCAGTTTACGGGGAAAATGAAGAGGGGAAAATTAACAATAGAAGATGGGAAAATTATACTTGTTGCAATTGAGAATTGCTCGTTGATGTCAGTTGTTGAAAGAAATGGAAGGCTAAAAACTTTCTCTGACGGAAGCTATGAAAGGGAGAATCCAATGGCTGAGAGAGAGAGAGAGAGAGAGAGAGAGAGAGAGAGAGAGAGAGAGAGAGAGAGAGAGAGAGAGAGAAAGAGAGAGAGAGAGGATAGGGAAGTTTGAGGACACTGTTTGAGAGAAAGGAACAAAGAGGAAGAAAAAGGGAGAGATTTGATGGTGGCTGCAGAAGAGGGGAAGCAAATTTGATGCCATAGGCCTCCAATTAACTTAGGGAGATAAAAAGGGTGGGAGAATCCATCGAATGGGAAAAGAAGTCATGAGTTGGAGACCAATCAATTGCGGGATGACGCGGACGATCGGATAGCTCTGGTCTTAATAAATCAAACATAACTTAATAAAGTAGAAGTCATAATGAATGAAATTTCTTATATATCTATTTTTTATTAAAATTTTCAAATATTAATTTGTTAAGGTGTCCTAATATCTCAAATATTATAACTAACCTAAGAAGATTCATATATTTACTCTTTCTCTGCTTCTCATCAATTTTTGAAAGAACACAGCAGCAGAGATTGATCATGATTCGAGAGCAGCTAACATAGAATCAAACAACATCCTATAAACTCTCACAAGGTAGCAAAAGATGAAGAGGTGTCATCGTTGCACAAGGAGGTGGAGATCATTTAGTTTATCAAGGAACCAAAGTGTTAGACTCTCATAAGGAGCAGGCATCATAGTGAATTAGCTCATTGCAAAGGATCAAAAGAGGGTGCTATGTTGGTGCCCTTGCTCAACGCAGATGGCAATAGAAGAGTTTTTTATGTTTGACTTTGATTGAATATTTATGAGAGGCCATGGTTGAGGAGATGTTTTAATAATTATATAAAGCCTAGTGAGAATAGATGTGCTTAGATGAACGGATGTGCTGCTTCATATTCCATTAGGCGAACAGATGGGACGCTTGGTAATGAAAACATGGGGTAACGATTGATGGTTGATATCTTCCAAAGACAAAGTTTTAAGCCCCTTTAAATACAGTGGTATCGATTGGTGCAGTTCATTTTCTTTCAATATCACCAGTGGACATGACATTAAAAAATGTTCCGAATTTAAAAGCAGAAATTCCTTTCTATGTATCATATTTCAAAAGATAAAATGACCCACCAACAACAATTCCTTTGATGGCTTCCCATTAGAACGCACATGCCTTCCAACCTTTCATGAAACTCGAATATTTAGGTTTATTGAAAAAAAACTCGAATATTCAGGTCTCCGAAATATAAATAGCATTGTTCCCGGTAACCCTAATATTTTTCAATCTCCAGAGAATTTAATTTTGTTGAGACATCCTCAATTCAACTTCCCATCATCCTTTACCTTAAAATGCTGCTTCAAATATGAGGAAAAAATTGCAACACACACTTCATTTTCTTACCGAGTTAAAAATATTGCACTAGCATCGTACGAGAAAAACACAGATAAGAACATGGGAACGTAGCTTCTTATATAACAAACAAATTGTGCGAAAAGAACAAACGCACCAACCTTTTGGATACAAGGAAACAGCTCAGAAGTTGCAGCGTGGATGTAATTGCCCAACTGCGGATGCCGAGCCTTTTGAACAACCACGTTCATATACCTCCTCCTCTCAAAAGCTCCTACAAAAAAGGGAAAAAGAAGGGGGAATTCTTGGGAATCTAAGAGATAAAGGCAAGAAAGAGAGAAAAGGATTATGTATTAGTGATACTAACCTGCTGGATAGAACCCTTTAAGGAAAACAATGCAGCTGACGGCCACTTCCAGAAATTCCACCAGGATGTGAGCCGTTTGTCCTTTTTTTTTTAAATTCACGACAAGATGAGATTTGTATCTACAAAAACATAAACTTAGGCGGAGTAAGATCGGAATAAAGATTTCACCTTGCGGACTGAGGCTTCTTCGATCCATCCAACATCAGATATCAAAGAGAAGAGTAGACGCTTGTTTCGCACAATGAACCCCGCGCAACTCTAGCGTTAACAAATTAACGCACTCAGGCGTTTTATATTAAACTGAGGGAGTTCATACATTTCATAAAATTTATACGTATTTATATATAATATATAATTTTTTTTATCTATAAATTACTTAAATTTTTTAAAAACATCAAAAATATGTGACGGGCAACGGCAGGTGGCGGCGACCTAACAAAGGGTGGTGGCAACTGGCAACTGGCAGGATGACAGCAGTGGTGGCTAGCAGTGGATAGCAACAGTGGTGGCCTAAGATAGGTGGGCGGGTGAGTAATGATGGGTGGTGGTGGCGACGGCCTACAGTAGGTGGGTTGGGCTGCAACCAGCAGGTGGTGGCAGCCAGCATTGGGTGGCATTCAACGGTTGATGGGGCAACCGATGGAAGGTGCGGTGGGCAACAGCAAGTGGGTGGCGGCGATCGATGGTGATGGGTGGTGGCTAGTGGCAGAGGTCAAATGAGCTTGCTTGCTGTGTAAACAGTTCTCACTCAAAACTAGCTAGGGGAAAACAAGCTTTCTTACGGTGTAAACAATTCTAACTCAAAATTGGGCGAGTATAATTTACTTCAAAAATGAAATAAAATGATTTACACTACATTTTATTTTACTTTAGTTTGCATTCATTTTATTTCAACCAAAAATCAATATTTTTAAAACCCATACATTTAAAATACTTTACTCCCATTTTACTTCTAACTAAACAACCCTTGAAATTATCTTTGTTATACCTATATACCTTATTCCCAGTATTCCATGGTAAAAATTTTGAGCAACGGCATTTCATCATTCCCAACTTCTACATACACTTATAGGCAATCCCCTTTGCTAATTTTATTGTCCTATTATTGAGAATTCATGGTTCAGTAGGATCAGACATAGCAGTTTCACACAACTTAAGCAGTCATGTAAGTCTGTTTTAATGCTTAAATGATGTTGTATTACATTATACAAGTGATTGAGTAAAAAATGAATGATCAAAGTGATTTTGTAATTAATAGAAACGATTTTTTATGGAAACCTTGGCACTTATTCGAGCCTAATTTGAGCCATTTGAAATTTTAATGATGTTTTGTCATATGCATTTTCAAATTCAAGTTGAATCTTGTTTAACGTTGATTTGAAAACATATTTGCCCCTCACATTCAGAGAGTTTTATACTGAAGCTAAAATCCATATCATTGATGCGGATGCCTCATTCAGAGTTCTTCTAGGTCGGCCGTGGATTCATAAGTTTGGCATGGTTCCCTCCACAATGCACCAATGTATGTAGTATTTAAGAGACGGGAAAGAATTTCGAATCTCAGGCATTGTCCAACCCTTTGCAATCCATGAAGTGAAGATCCATGAAGTATTTATGTCTTGTTTAAATCATGACCAAATATTATTCAAATATTTTTAGATATGATTTGAATATTATTTGAACATATTTGAACCTCATTCAAACCTTGTTCAAATTGTTCGACATTTGTTCATATTATGTTATATTTGATCGAATTTTGATCATGTTTACGTTCACACAAACCATGCCAACATATGGTTCTAGCATATTTAGAGTGCTTATACTTTGAGTAATTTTTTCTAAAGGTGAATTAAGAATCAACATTCTTAGAGTGTATGGATGAAAATTGAAAGAAGAGCCAAGTTTTCTATTGGACAACGCTGCAGTTGGAAAATGTCAGCTTTTTTGTGCCATGCTCACTATTTTCTAGCGTTGCAGTGTCACAATCTATCACGCCTTAGTGCCAAAATTGACATTCTGATGCCACAGAGTTTGAAAGCCAGCAGCGCCGTGACGTGACAATTGTAACTTCCAAAGTGCATGATCTGTCAGTGAAACGATGCGACTATTCACCAAATAATTTATTCACGTTAGCAAGCCCGCGGTGGAGCCAAAATAGTACCGCAACAGCATTAGTTCATTTGTTGAGCACAACGACGATGAACTTTCAAGCGACACAGCCCCAGATGCCTACTTTGTGATTTCCTATAAATATTCATTATGTTATGCTTGTAGGAGAGTTCAGTCACTTAAATAATTTCAGTATAATTCAGAGTACTTCTCTGAATTTTCCCTAGGGTGACAACTAAGGGAATTGAAGGAAGTACTTTATACCATCATTAGATTGTTTGGCTTGTGTTTATGGAAACAATTCCATAAGTAAAAAAGGAGTGTATAAGAGATCCATTGAACCATTCTGGTGATATCTATCTCTTGTATTTTCTTTTTATCACGCTATTAATGAAAATGAGTTTGATTCATTATACTCCAGGTCTGATTAAATTCTCTAACTTTGGGTTGATTATGTAAATATCATATATACTACTAGTGAGTTATCTTATTTTTTAAATGATTAAAATAATATTTTCAGTATTACCATATCTTAATTTAATGCACATAATGACCATATGTGTAGTTACAATTAAGTGTAATGTGGAGCCTCGAAGGAGGAAAGCAAGCTTAACCAGAAATATTGCATTAGTATGCATCATACCTAGGCATAGGGTATGAAATGTACCAAATTCTTAAGAAGATGATATAATCGTAGGAAGTCGGTGGACTTCCTTTGTCCTCCTACAAGCTCAACAGAGATTTAGGGATGCTTATGCTCTGAATAGCATCACAATTAAAGAAATTCATTAGGAAAAAATATATTATTTAAATTCATCAATCCAAAATATTTTATCCATATAGTTTATTCATTATCTTTATCTAATTTTATTTAAGTGATTGAATCTTCATAACATCCACTTTTACTTAGTAGGATAATTATTATAATTTTAGAAGATAGTATTAGTATTTTCAAGTGAGCATATCTTCCTGGTGGGATCAATACTTTACTGTATCACTATATTATTTAATTCTGCATGTATATTTGCTTATGTTAAGTGAGGTTTTCATAATTTTTATATCAAAGAAAACCTAAACATTGTTAGGGATTGATAGAGCCCTAAATCATTTCATTATTTTATAAGTTACTCTACAACCCCATCAAGTTTTTGGCGCCATTGCCAGGGAAATGTTTCACTTTTTGCAAAATTTTCATTATATTGTTGAATTAATTGAAATTGATTACTGACATCATATGGCTCCATTAGTTATTGCAGGACTTCCATCTTCCTTTATACGCAATCAACTAATCTCCACTGCGACATCACCTTTATCATAGCTTCAGCCAACAATCCTGTCTTCCACACCCAAATAAAGCACACAGAGGTTGACCACACTCTATTCGTCATCACATACACTCCAACACCATTCGCATTGTTCCGATCAGCATAGAGGATCAAACAGCTAACAACCTCACCAAATCACTATCTATCGCCAGATTCACTCTTCTTCGTGACAATCTAACAGTTCAACCAGGACTGACACATTGCAAGGGCATAAAAGCAATACCAAACTTTAACTCTCACACGAGAAAGGACACAATCTCAGCCAGGGGCGGAATCATGGCATAGCCAGGGGGGGCAATTGCCCCCCCTAAAAAAATGTAAAATACATTTAATGCTATGGTTATTTAGTAATTTCCCATACAACATATTAAAATTGTCCTAGCCCATCTTTCTCACCTAATTCCTCCCGCTTCTTCTATCATGTCAGAGACTCCGCCCGTTGTACTCCCACTCCACAACTTCTTCTCTCCTTTCTCTTCATTCTCTCCTCTAATATCTTCATTTCCTCACTTGCTGAAAACAACGGGTAGAGAGAATGAGAAAAAAATTATACCTGAAAAAGCTTATTTGTAAAGCTTATTTCTCTTCTGTAATTGCAAAAATGCCTTAAATTTTGTCGGATCAGCTGAAGAAAGCATGCACATTTTGTAATTTCTTTTTTAGTTGGGAAGGCATTTCTGAAAGATCCACAAAGGAAGCACCTTTCTTCATTCTCAGATTTTAAATGGTTTATATTTAAATTTTCTGATACAAAATGCTTGGAATCTCATTAACTTTGCCACTGTAGCATTAAATATACAATTTATTCTTGTTGTTTAATGAGACAAAGGACAAAATTTGTGTTAAGGTTGTCTTATTAAATGTGATTATGATTTTTTTTTTACCTTTAGGATTTGTTTTAAGATGATTGAAATTTAAGATTAATCAATTAATTTTTAAGACGATTGATATGGTGGGTTCTTCTTCTCTTAAAATTTTGCCCCCCCTAAGATGAAAGGCTGGTTCCGCCCCTGATCTCAGCAAAACAAATCTCAACCTTCCATCCATAACAACCAGGAATAATCACACACACACACACACACACATATATATATATATATTATAGTGAAAAGGAAAGTCTTCTCCCTAGTTTAGCACTGTTGTAATGTAGCTTTAGGCATTTTGCAACTTTACACATTTTCTACATATTCAAAAAAAATTTTTTGATGTTATTTACTTTGAGTGTAGGAAATCAGAACATTTAAGGTACAATGCCTCAATCTTATGAGCTATCCTACAAAGAAAAAGGATGATGTTAAGCCAAATACAAGAAGAAGAAAACAAAAAAAATGTAAAAAACCTTCTAGGCAGATTCAACCTGTATTACTTTTTTGCCATGCAGTCTACACTATCTTCTCTCTTATAAGTGCGGAGGGGATGCCGAATGTAATGATCGGCGGTTGCTTTACTCTTTGCCAATTTTCTTCTTGTTGGCCTTGATATTATCTTCATTCATTTTTATTTCTTCGGGCAGGGATGAGCAACCTCTTGTAGGTAATGAAATTCAAACAAAGCGGTCTTGCTCAGCTCCAATGACTACTTTCTTCTGTGTTTCCTCGATTATCACTGCCATACAGGATGACCATGACTTATTTCACTATAATATGAATCCATCTTTTCTTTTCTAGGCGGAATTACTGATTTACTTCTGAATTTGATTATAAAATTTGTCTTTCTATAATAGACCTATTGTATTGATGTTCATTTGTACTTTATTTTTATCAATAAAATTGGCTTGACATGATTCTCGTTTCTTAAAAAAAAAAATCAATTAGTGGCACCGATTAGGGTGCAAACAAGTTAAGTCGAACCGAGTTTAGGCCCTTATCGAGCCCGGCTCATTAGTTGGAAAGCGAGTTTGAATTCGACAGGCGAGCTCAAACTCGAGCTCGACTCACTGTAAACAAGTTCGAGCCAGTTCATGAGCCATGGGGAAATTTTTAAATTTAGGCAGAATTTTTAAAAATTAATCAAAATATTAAAAAATTGAATTTTTTTTTAAACTTATATGATTTATTTTATTTTTAAATTTAATAAATAAAATAAATTTATTTTAAAAATATTAATTTTTATTCGAGCCAGCTCACGAGCCGAGCCGGCTCAAGCTCGTTTACTAAACATGCTCGAGCTCAACTAGTGAGCTCAATAAGCTTGGATCGAAGGCCATAAACGAGTCGAGTTCGAGCCGGCTCCCCTAACTTACACCCCTAGCGCCCATGGCCTTCATCATTATGTCAGAATGGCTACAGGCTGCAGGAATTCAGGCAAATTGTAGCTGGCTTTAAATCAGCTTCCCGAAGCGCATCAAACGTTCTGATAGCAGACCTTAAGCGCTCACAGTTTCTTATTGAGAAAGTTGTTTTGATATTGCCCGTTGGCCAAAGTGGCTGGACTCACTGGAGCTCCGTCAGCCGCCGGCTGCTTCCAGCGTTAATCCACCAGCCCCAATCCCCCGCCACGCTATAGTAATGTTGCAGCTGCTTCCACGAATGCGTTGTGTTGCTCTCTTGGAACTTTCATCGCACAGATATCAAACCAAGCAAATTCATGCCCAGATGATCACAAACGCCTTATTACGCGATACTTTGAACATCGCCAAACTAATAGAGAAATACCGTACCGATAGCCAGGAATCCTGCGAAGGAGGCGCCACCTATTCTCGATTTCTCTTCCGTCAGGCCACAGAAGAGATAAAAGACACATTTTTATGCAACGTCATGCTTAAATACGCCTCGCCGGAGGAATCAATACGTTTCTTCGCCGACGAGATGATGAGGGTTGCTCCGCCTGATTACGCAAGCTACGCCTACGTCTTCCGATCGTGTGCACGGCTGCGCGCCGCGAGGGAAGGGAAGCAGGTGCACGCTCGAGTGTTAAAGGAAGGGCTAGAGTCGCAATTGGCGCTGGCGACGACGTGTGTCTACTTCTATGCGTTATGCCGGGATATGGAGGCTGCACGCAGACTGTTCGACAAAATGACGGAAAGAAGCTCGGTGAGCTGGAATGCCATGATCACCGGCTACTGCGTCAATGGATTAGCAAAGGAAGCACTGTTGTTGTTTAAAGGAATGGCTTATAGTGAAGCGAGGCCTACAGAAAGAACCACTCTGCTGCTGCTCTCTGCTTGCTCGCAACTAGGTGATCTGGCACTCGGCGCCACGGTTCATTCACTTGTATTAAAGACCATTCAAGCTCCCCTAGATTGTCCCTTTATAGGGACTGGACTGGTTGAGATGTACTCCAAATGTGGATCCCTTGAGAACGCTTCAGCATTGTTTGGTGCTATGAAGCAGAGAAATGTGATCACCTGGAGCACAATGGCTGCCGCTTTTGCCATCCATGGAGAGGGGAAAGTAGTGGTGGAACTTATTAACTTGATGGAAAAGGAAGGAATAGTACCAAATGCCATCACTTTCACGTCATTGCTCTCAGCTTGCTGCCATGCCGGGCTGGTCGAAGAGGGCCTGCACCTGTTTGATGAAATGCAGAGCCGCTTCAATGTCGTGCCTAGAATGCAGCACTATGGCTGCATTGTTGATCTTCTTGGCCGGGCTGGGATGGTAGAGGAAGCTCATGAGTTCATTAAAAACATGCCTGTGAAGCCTGATGCTGTTGTCTGGAGGGCTCTGCTTGGTGCTTGCAAGATCCATGGTGAGGCGGAGCTCGGTAGCAAGATTGGGAAGATCCTCATAGGACACAAGCAGCTGCCAGTTGAGTCAATGCCGGTTACCGCCTGTGAAGACTTCATAGCACTATCCAATATGTACGCTTCGACCGAAAGGTGGGAAGAGGTTCACACCGTTAGAACTGCAATGAAGAAGAAAGGGATTCAGAACAAACCAGGCCGCAGTTCAGTTCAAAATGTACAGACTAGATTGAAAATGCAAACAGGCATTGCTATGTGATTCAGTTTGAGCGGTTCTTTGACACAATAGGCTCTGATTGAGATTTGTTACAGAAGCCTGATGTTCTGAAGGGAAATACATAATATAACACAGAAGCTCGAGAAAAAGTTATGATGATAACAGTTTTAAAAAATTAACCAAGTGACATCGATTTGCAACACTAAGCTTTCGATCACTGTTAGGAAATTATAAAGAATCGGCCATTTGTAGGCTTCAATACTTAAATAGTTTGGAATGTATCTATAGAATATCTGCTGAAGGCTTTTCTCTATCAGCCAAGCCATGTTCCATTCCAAGCTCAGCAGCCAAAGCCTCAATATCTGGTGTTATCTCCCAACTTCCTTTGTGACCACGTGAGCTCGAGTGAAGTGGCTGCGACGCGCACCTATCTGATCCTCTGATGCTATCAATTTGGCTTTGTATGTCGTCGAGCTCCTCCTCGGCCACAGTCTGCCGCTTCACACCCATCTCTAGATCCGCGCTCTTCTTTGGCATGTCTGGGCTAAGGGTGGAGCCAATGGAGCGAGATGAGGTGAAGATAGCTGAGTTATCCTTCACTTTAGCACGAAAGTTGTTCTTAGAACTTGGAATCCTTGAGAAGAAAATCTCATGCACATTTTGGGCGCACCCAAGGTTGTGGGGATTTGTTTTCTTATCATAACGGTAACGGAAATTCTCGTATGTGGTCTGCACAGTCAACAAAATTAAGCAGTTAATATCTCCGGCTTGTTAAGGCAGAATATCTGTGAACAAAGATAGAGAGATTGGACATTGCACCTGATTCGTGCAGATTAAGTAAAGGTGGAAAGCCGTTAACCCTCCTACAAACCAAACAGCTATGAATGTATATATGATAAGAAACCCTGAAATTGGTGATTTAAGGAAGGCTCTCCAGAGATTACATTCATGCACATCTATTATCTTCTTCAGGTTAACCCAGCAAAATATGAAGACATAAACACAAAGGAGGGATGTCGAGAACACAAACATGAAGAAGAATCTGTAGTTTCTCTGCACAGCAGAAAAATATCACATGTAAGAATAAAGTTGTTCTTGCTGTTATATTGTCGTTCTTTCAACTACAACTTGAATTTTTTATTGGTTCAACGGTCAACACTAATTTAAAATATGTAACAAGCATGCATATTCAAATAAGTTGCATGCAGGTTTATCTTACAAGCATCTCAATGAACATGATTCACTAGCTGATTGATCTATTTCTAGGAACAAGTTTCAATTATTGCATCATTATAACTGCAATATAGATGATGCCAAAAGAATAGATTCAACGGGACCACATCATGATTCGGGGCTAACCCCACCCCATTCCTGCAATTGAATGCTCTCCACACAATCCTCCCCCACCCCCTCTCCACTTTCATGTAAAATAAAAATAAAAAAATACAAAAATAAGAAAATAGAATGCATATCTCCACTCACAGACAGCAATTAATTATTCTGTACGGAGGCCGAACATCGTCCGGAGACCAATCATAATGCGCCACATCACCCCTTGCTTGGTACTTCTTGTTACGGCTCGGTATTGCTGACGTGACACATTCTAGTTGATCTCCAGACGACGTTCTGCATTCGGTCTCCGCACAGAATATATAATTTATAATTTCTCCTGGACAACAATGCATTAGGGCCAATCCTTAAAAAATTGACCCTACAAATAAATCTAAAAAAAAAGATCAATAATATTATGAATAACAAAGGGCAAACCCAATGACCGCAGACCTCCCTCAGAAAATAGAAAGCTGAGTCAGTAGTTATTACCTTGCCAATGCACTGTCCAACCCAGGGGCAATGATGATCAAAACGCTCCACGCAATTATTGCAAATAGAACAATGGGAGCATCGTGGGGGGCGATAAAGCATGCAGGTATGACAGTACTTGACTTTGATTATGATATTATTAACGACCACATCCTTGGTGGGTGGCAAACTCGATGGACCACCATGATTTCCTGCTGAAGCATTGGAGGCGTCAGCTTCATCTTCTAGCTCTGGAGGATGCGCATTGCGAGGAATAATCCCTGGATCCTTGCCAGATGTAAGAAGCAGAAGAAAAATCACCTGCACTCAATCAGCAAAGTAATAGAGACTAGATTAAAATCTTTACAAATACAATGAGTGAAATCAACAAATTAATACAGATTATATTAAATTCCCATGAATTCTGAATACCGTATTTAATTAAACTTCATTAGTAATGCTGAAAGAAAATTTGATCGATTTTTACCTTAATGTCCTATCAAGATGTTGCTTCCAGGGAATCCTTTTTCTTTCTCAGCTTACAATAAATGATTTTACAATTAAATCCAAAAGGCAGCTGAAGAAATGTATGGACAATCAAGAATAGTGAATGCAGCTGAATTGAATTATTGTATTCATCGTACTTATGTATTACATGATACAAGTATATATTTATAGATGTAGAATACATGTCAAATACAATGCTACAAGATGTGGGATTAATCGCATATCTGTTATTACTCCCCCTCAAGTTGACGGATAGGTTTGGACAATAAGCTTGTGTCGAAGCATCTAAAACCTTGGAGTAGAAAGTGGTTTCGTGAGAATATCAACTATTTGATCTTTAGTGTTAATCGGAACTATACAATCTCTATATGTTTTGTCCGTGCATGAAATACTGGACTGTTGGCTAGTGCTATAGTGGATGTATCATCACAACTTAGATCAGTAGGTGCAGTCTGCTATATGTGAAAATCTTGTAACAATTTTCGAAGCCATATGATATCTATGATTGCTGAAGCTAGTGCTCTATACTCCGCTTTTGTTGAAGATCTTGCTACTGTATGTTGTTTTTTAACACTCCATGATATTAGATTGTTACCAAGAAATGTACAATAACCTGACGTAGATCGGTGAGTTTCTCTATTTGCAGCCCAATTAGCATATGAAAAAGAATGTAGTTCTAAGGGTCCTGGTGAGATTGGTATTCCATAGTGCAATGTGCCCTTAATGTATCGAATTAATCTCTTAAGCATATATACATGTTGAGATGTAGGATTATGCATATATTGGCATAGTAAATTGACTGCAAATGCTATATCAGACCTTGTAATGGTTAGTTATTGCAGTGTACCAACTATTTGTCTATATTTTTTAGGATCAGACAGCAGCTTCTTAGTTGAACAATTCTCGGGCATTTTAGTGCACGTCAGATTGGAGAGTGGTTTACATTGTTGCATTTCTGCACTTCGAATAATAAATGAGGCACATATAGCTTGGGAATTGGGATAGAAAGTAATATTGTTTACCGTGAGATATTTGAATTCCCAATAAGTTGTTAGCGGTTCCCAAATGTTTCATAGAAAATTGTTGATTGAGTTGATATACAATATCATTCACAATATCTTGATCATTTTCAATAAGTAGAATGTCATCTACATAAATGAGTAGATACATTTGAATATTATTTTTGTGAAATATAAGTACTGACGAATCAGCTTTGCCGTGAGTGAAGCCCAGAGACTTTTAGATATGCTGAGAACGTATTGAACCTTTGCTTTGGTGATTGATTCATACCATAGAGAGCTTTACGAAGAAGACATACATAGTTTGGATTAGTATTGTCTTCAAATCCTTTTGGTTGTTTCATATATATTTCTTCCTCAAGTTTTCCATGTGGAAAAGCATTGGTCACATCCATTTGATGAATTGGCTAATTTCGAATGAGAGCAATTGTGAGCAAATTTTTTATGGTAGGAAACTTAGCTACAAGACTAAATATTTCAAGATAGTTTATACCATATTCTTGTTGATTTCCTTGTGCACCAAGCCTTGCTTTGAATCTAGCAATATCTATTTGAATGAAGCTTTGTGCGATACGTCCACCTATAGCAAAGGATGGATTTATTGTTCAGAGGTGATACCAAACTCTAAGTACCTTGTTACCTTGTGTTGAAGTGCCAAAAAATTTTCTCAAAATTACATGCTTCCGCATATGTTGTTGGATCAAATGCGGAAGAGGGAGTTTGATTGTTATGAATATGTAACTGATTAAGAACTTGGCGTGGTTTTAGAGAACCAATTTTGAGTCTAGTAACCATATGATGAGTTGTTTGTATTGTAGGTGGTGTGATAGGAGAGGATGGAGAATTTGTTTGAGCGGTGTTAACCGAAACTTGTGGAGAATTTGTAGATGACATTGGTGATGATACATGTTGAGTATTTGAAATTGAATCAGTTTTCTTTGTGGATGATGATTATAATAGGTTGACGTGGGAATAAGCAAATGTGGATTGTTTGGTAGACAAGTAGATGGCTGCTCTTTAATAGACTGCTGGTTTTGAAATGGAAATGAATTTTCATCAATCAAATGTTACATGTCTAGATGTGTAAATGCAATTTGTTGTGGGATCAAGACATCTGTATCCCTTAGATAGATGTATCAGCATAACCAATGAATACACAATATATTGATCTTGGTTCAAGTTTATTTCGATAATGTGGAGGAATCCAGGAAAAACACTTGCATCCAAATGTGCGAAGCAAAGTATAATCTGATTGTTGAGCACAACAATCAAGTAAAGGTATATTCCACAACTTCTTATATGTTATTGCATTATATTTCTATCAAGTGATCAATTAATATGATAATGATCTTTTCTCTTATTGAACAGGGAAGAGAAAAGTGAGTCATATTGAAGATGATGATGATATGATATTCATAGATACAATTGGAGAAGAATATTCCCTTGAAGACCCATTTAGTGATGGGATATGATTGCATTTTATATATTTTTTGTACTTTTGGAGTTTTGTTAAACTAATATTTTGTGATTTTATACTTTGGGATATAATTTTATTGCATATATTTTCATATATAATTTAGATGTTTTTATTGTAAGATAGAATATTGGTATTATTTACCTGTTAAAACCCTTAATTCCTCATTTACGCAATTCTGTGTCCGTGAGGCTTACGCCTCAAACCGCCTCGAGGCTTACGCCTCGCCTCACGGACGAAAACTGCCTCAAGGCTTAATTACGCAATTTTAAACCTTGGTTTAAACTAATCCCTATTAAGCTTAATTGATTTCAAACTTATTATTTTTAAGTAAATGATTACTTCTTAATTAATTATAATTAATCTACTTTTAGTAATGATTAATTATCATTAATTTAAATAAATCATTATTAACCTTAATTAATTTTAAATTACTTACTTTTAATAATGATTATTTATTATTAATCATAATTAATCATTTCTATTTATGATTAATCATCATTAGTTTTAGTTAATTATATTTAATTATTTTAATCTTAATTAATAGTTATTATTTATAATTAATTATTTTTAATTAGAGTTAATTATTATTAATTATGATTAATTATAATTAAATCCTATTAATTATGATTAATTATAATAAAATGAAAAGAAGAGAAATATGCTCCTACCTTGCCTCAATCCACGTGCCAGCACCACCGCCAGTTGCCAAGGTATAACCTCCTAACTTGAGAGAATCCATCTTGGCGCTTACAATGTTGCGAACAACCACCTATGCTTGCTTTTCTTAGCACGGTGGGAGGAAGTTCGTTGCAGTGCTTGTGGCGAGGCGGGTAATCCCCTCCAAAAGTCCTATTGTCGGTGTTTGCAGCGCGCCAAGGGACCCCATATGCACGTTTTTCTTAGCATGGTAAGAGGAAACTCAGTGCGGCGCTTGCGAAGGAGGGCGATCGCCATACGCGCTTTTCTTAGCACGGCGGGGCAAAATATAAGTACCCGTTCGCGGGAAAAAATTGCTTTTGTTTTACAGGTATGTTGAAGACCCATGCACGTCTTTCTTGACGTGGTGGATGACGAACACTATGGTCGCGCTGTCCCACAACACTAATCGTGCACGTCTTTCTTGACGTGGCTGGCCGACTGCCTCTTGGTTTTTCCTCTAAACGGAGGAGACGCCGAGAGGCTGCCGAAATTTTGTTTAAAAAAGGACAAGTACTTGGAACAAACAGTGGACTTTATTTGGACATCAAATGAACTTAACTTGAATCATAATTTGAATGAAATGAAAGAACTTGAATCAAGTTTGACTGCAAGGAGTAAATTTACTTGGACTCGAATTGATTTTGGACACTAAATGAAGTGAACTCAAATGAGCATAAACTTGAAAAATGATGATAACTCAAGTGACTATGACCTGAACAATCTGAACTCAAGCAAAGCTTGACTTAGATCATAGAAGACTTGAATATGATGTGGAACTTAACTTGGATTTGGACATAAATAGAATTAACAATCGAATGAAGGACTTGTGAAATTCAACATGACTTGCAACATATCTGCAAGCAAGGACCAATGTGCAATGAATATGCTATGCATACGATATATTGTCTATAATCCAAGGCAATAAATCATAATGAATTACAATGAACTTGATTGAACTCAAATGACCACAGATGACACTGAACTCGAATTATACAACACCAAGTGAAACTTGGATTTGCAAGCATTAGACTCAAGACCGGATTAACTCAATATGATAACAGGAGACTTGAATGAATGTAGAAGACTCATACTGAGTTTGAACTCAATCATGAATGGAATTTTGACTCAAACATATACAAAAAATAGAACTTGAGTCTTATACAAGGGAACTCCTATATCCATATCACCAATAATGATCCGACTCCATGAACATACATCAAAGAAAAAAATAAATACAATGTATATCGTGATATGTTCATAAACATGATGTGGAAAAGGCACAACAAATATAGCACTTGCATTCGATCCAATATGTTGTCCACAAGCAAAATGCAAAGTAACTACGTTGAATGTGAATGCCCATTAGTAACATTAAAAGATCAACATTTAACACAACACCCCTACAAACATACAATATCATGCCACAAATGATACGACATGTTCGTGAGCAAGGTATGAAGGATATTCAGCAGATGAAGCAGCTGCCTTCCAACACTTCTACAATCACATCAAAACACAAGCAATCATATTCAACCCTGCAAGCAATGAAATAGGAGGGGATGTATAATTTGATCCTGAATAAATATACAAGTAATAATGCCTACGAGCGTGAGAGGACA